TCGAACCTCTGGGCTGCTCAGTTTTGAGCAGCTTCTGGGGTGTGAACCCCACGGCAGGCCGTGGAGGCGCTGTCGTGTGCCATCATAGAAACACACGCGTGGGGCGGGGTGCGGCGAGCATGGCCTGGCTGGCGTCCAGGGGTTTCCAGCGGTGTGAGGCAGGAGGGGATGGAGGTGGCCCCCCGGGGAGCAGCGGGTCCAGGGCGGGTGGGCAGGAGGACCTGGCCCAGCCCCGCCTGCCGGCAGCTGTGGACCCTCGGGGCGTGGGCAATGCCGTCCTTTACAAAACCCAGGACGCTGCCTTTTGAGTGGACCAGGCAATCTCGGTCTTTTTGGAGGGTCCTGTCAGGTGGGCGGGGGAGGGCCGTGGGCACAGCAGGGTTTCTGGGGTGGCAAGCCCACCGCCCGTCTGTCCTGCTCCGCCTCCGGACTCCTGGCCTCTGGGTGGGCCCTGGGCACACGGTGGGGCTGGACAGATGCCCTTCAACAGACGGAAAGAGCCAGAAAGAGCACAGGACAGGAGGGGCAGCTCAAAGGGTGTGGTCTTGTGCGGAACAGCCCTCCAGGGATTGGCTTGGGCGGTGAGAGGCGCGGGGCGGGCCATTCGGGGACGCCCTGCAAGTCCCTGGCAGCCTCGGTCATGCCCTGGTCCCGCTGGCTGTGCTGGGACGCGGTTCCAGCGTGGCTGGGCTGTTGCCTTGTTTGCTGCTGTGGCCTCGAGGGGCGTCCCAGCGGCTGAGCCTGGCAGGTCTGTGGCAGGCTCAAGTCCACAGGGCGTGTCGGATGTGCCTGGCGCCTCCGCACAGGAGAGAGTGATGAGGGCCCCGGTCCTTTGCCGCCATAGACGGGAAAGGAGCTGCCACAGCCACTCTGGGCAGAGGCCACTTGGCCAAAGGCTGGACAGAGCAGGGGCGCCGCTGGGCGTGGGCCACGCTTACCTGCCCTGGCGCAGCCTGCACGGTCACAGACCAGTCGGGTCACTGTCCGGTTACCCGTCTTCTACGTGGCTCCAGACTCCGCGTCTCGAGGTGGCTGGTTGCCGTCCTGTCGAGGATCAGGTGCGTGTGCACTGAGGCGTCAAAGCCTCAGAAAGGTGTCTGCTCTGCTGGGGCTTCACTGAGCGCCTCTGTCTGATCCCTCCCTCTGAAACCACTGTGTAGACGGTCACATCTCAGGGCAAAATGAAAAGAATAAAATTTTAAAAGGGGAGAAAAATCCTAGTTCTCTGGGCTTCCCTAGACCTGAGGCTCATTCGCTCGCGCATTGCGCACGCGGACGTCTGTGGAGCAGGTGGCGTCCCCGTCGCAAGGGAGTGAAAGAAGCACCCAGGGTGGAGGATGTGGGTGAAGCTGGCCAGGGCCCTGCAGCCCCGGACCCAGCGCCCAGCCACCTGGACGCTCCTTGAAGGGCGCTGGGAGCCGGCGGCACCCCGCCTTGGTGGGCTGCAGAGCCCGGCACTCGTGGCAGGCGGAATAACGACCCTCCCCAAGCACGTCCTTGTCCCTGCAACCGGGGAACGTGTTACCTGATGTGGCAAAGGGACATTGAGGGCCCAGATGGAACCGGGGTTGCCAATCGGCCGACCTAGGACAGGGAGGTCATCCTGGGGTCAGGGGGATCCAATGGAAGCACAGGGTCCCTGGAAGTGGCGGCGTCGGAGGGAGCAGAAGAGAGTCCTCCGGCCACTGCTGCCCTGAGGTGGAGGAAGGGGCCTCAGGCCAGGCACCCAGGCGGCCGCTCCAAGCTGGAGAAGCAGCCGATCCCCCCCAGAGCGTCCGGAGGGCGCACAGCCTGCCGCTGCCAGGTGTCAGCCCAGGGAGACCCAGGCAGACGTCTGGCCCCCAGACCTGTAAGATGCGTCGTGTGTATGCAGCCACTGAGTCCTGGGGACGTCGTGTGGCCTCGCGTAGAGGGCAAACACGGGCTCGTGCCAGGACGAGACCTCGGCTTCTGCGTCTGCAGCCCAGCTGGGGCTGTAGAGCCAGGAGCAGCAGGGTCTCTTCCTCCTGCCGGTCTACTGGGGGTCCCGGTGGGGTGTGGGTGCTGACGCAGAGGCGTGGGGCGGGGGCTTCTGCAGCCCTGTCAAGCTCCTGGGTGGCCTGAGGCTGGCGTGGTCCTTGAGCTGAGGCAGGGCTGGAGCCTCCTCCGCCCAGCCCGGGTGAGCACGGGCACACCGTGGGTGGAGCCTGGTGTCAGGCATTCCCATGGCCCAGAGGAGGGGCACGTGCGTCTCCACAGTCTCCACGATCCGAGGTCTGCCCTGCTGCAGCTCTGGAGAGCGTCAGGGCGGGGCTGGGTCCCGCCTTCTTAGCCTCAGAGCAGGCAGGACAGAGCAGGGCCTGCTCTTTCCTCGGGGACACCGCACAGAGCTCTTGGCCTGCCATCTGGAGCCGCAGGTCCCCACCCCCAGCTGGGACAGGAGGCTCACGCTCGGGCTCAGGGCCCAGCCCCACGCGTGCTGGGGGGCTACTTCCCTGCAGCTTCCACACTCTTCCCGCCTCCTTCCCTGGGTGGGGACGCCCAGGCCCCCTGTGGCTGAGCCCAGCCAGGTTTTCATGAAGTGCCCTGGGGGTCAGCGACTGGCTGACTCACCCTCACCCTCCACCTGCCCTGGCTGCTTCTCCACGTGCGCGGGCAGAGATGCCTGCCTGCCTCTGCACTGGTCGCCATGGGCTGTGTCCCCCCGAGGGTCAGCTCTCCAGACGCAGTCCTAGCCTCAGACCCAGAAGGAAAAGCGCCGGGAGGGAAGTGCCTGGGGTCAGGAGGGCACACATGGGTGGGCCGCTTCGTGGGGGCCGTGTCCATCTCTGGGGTCGGCTGGCCTTGTTTGCGGCCGGCTTTATTCCCAGGTCAACACTGCTGCCCCCGAGAAGGGGGGAGTTTCTGGGGGGCTGCCGGTGCTCCACTCCGGCCACTTCTGGTCGCAGTAGAGCCTTCTGTTCCTGTCCCAACCCCAGCCGGTCTGAGGGACCAGCCCGAGGAGGTTTTTCCCAAGGGCAGGGGACAAACGGAAGGTGCCTGTGTGGGGGGTGTGGTCACGCAGGGCGGGCTGTGCTCCTGCAGCCTGGCTCTGGGCCACCCCCCAGGTGGTGCTTGAGCAGCCTCCCCCAGCCCCGAACACACTCGGGACGGCTGATGGGGGCAGGTGTGCCTCTGCCTTCGCTGGGCTACCGCCTCTGCACCTCTGTCCGCCTGCTGGGCCACCCCCGTCCATCCTCCTCTCCACCCATCTGTGCCCACAGCTGCGTCAAGCACGGGGCAGAGTGGAGTTTCCTGGAGAGGTGAGCGTCCGTCGGCCCTCTTGACGTAAAATATGACCTCAGATACGTCCGAGTTGGTGGTGGGCCTCCCTGCTTGCCAGCGGCTGTTGTTCTCCTTGCTCGGGGCCAGCAGCAGGATTCCTAGTTCCTATGGGGAGCTTGGGAGGGCGTCCCGAGAGCTGCCTCGGAGACACAGGCCCTTGGCTGTGTCTGCTTCCAAGCAGGCCCCCAGCCTCTGCTCCTGGGAGCCGGAGACATTGCCGTGGAAGACACCACCACGGAGGACACCTGTTGCTTTGACCCTTCCCCACTTGGAGGGTTTCCTTTGGAGAGCCACCCGCCTGCCTCCCACGCTCCAGGCCCAGCCAATCCCACACTTTGAGAGGGAAGCATCTCGCCTGAATCATGAACCAAAAGGATGTGCAACATCCATGGAGCGGTCCTACTTAAGAAAGATACCAAAGGGCAGAGCTGAACAGTGGACAGAGAGTCTTGTGGGTCCTGTGAGCTCCTGGATCCAGCAGGACCTGAAGCCCACCCTGGGACTTGGCAAGTTCTGAGAGCCTGCAAATGCCCTTTGGTTGAGTCCACTTCGTGCCGGTTACAGTGGGGAGAGGACTGGCTGGCAGGGGAAGGCACTGGGCTGCGGTGACGCTCCCAGGAGGCAGGATTGGGAGGCTGAGCCCAGGGTGCCCTGCCAGCCTCTGCAGTGGCTCCAGCACCCAGGGACTCTGTGTGTGGCCTGTTCCTGCCTCACGACAGGTGTGGGATGCATCACGATCGCAGGACGGAGGGATGAGGTGCAGGACTCGCCCCTGCAGTGGGCTGAGGATACCCCTCAGGTGGGGGACACTCTGGAGCTGACTCTGCGTGGAGCACTCAGGTCTCTGTGGGCAGGCCGCGGAGGCTACGGGGTCTGAGCTGGCTGTGGGCAAGGTCAGGTGGGCACAAACCTGTCACGGCTACTGGTAATTCCGTAGGATGCGTGTGGCTGCGGCTTTCAGCACCACGGACAGCGATGCCCAGCCCGGCTCCTATTTAAAAGGCCAAGACCAAGGGTCTGGGTCTTCGCGGGGGGGCGGGGCTGTACCTGGCAGCAAAGCCAAGGGTCCCCGCGGCTCTGTGGCAAGTCACAAGCAAACCTGTGTCCAGTGCCGGTGCTCTGGACCTGACCCTGGTGCTGCCCGAGGAGGCGGCGGGTGGGCGCGATGGGTGAGGGGCTGGGGCCCGGGCTCCCCCCAACCCAGGGCTCTGCAGCGCGCGGGCGTGGCGCGGGGCGGGCCCTGTGACTTGGAAGGAAAGCGAATGAATGATTGAGTGCCTGACCCCTGGGAGAGCAGGAACCTTCAGTATCAGCCTTTTTGTGTCTTCTTAACAATCACAAATTTGACACGGGGAAAATTAAAATGGCAAACTGCAGTGTTTCTCAGAAATAATGTCAGGAAGAGTCAGCCGGCCCCACCGACTCCTTCCACCATGGCTCCAGCCGGACCCCGGACCCCGACCCCGCATCCTGGACCCGGCATCCCGGACGCCGCTCGGTGGCTGGTGCTTCCTGGAAGCATCTGTCCTGAGGTCTCAGCCGAGACAGACCTGGGGCCCTGCCGCCTGCAAGCTGCGTGTGGGGGCGACGCCTGCCCCCTGGGACCCAGAGCCTGGGTGTGGGCGGGGCCCTGGGGCCAGGCTGCCCACCCCAGCCAACACGGACACGAGGCTCTCCCTGGCGACTTCCAAGTCACGGAGGCCCTGTACCTGCGCAGACCTGGCACTTGCGTGGACCGCACACCTGGGCAGACCCCCTGGGCTGTCCTCCCAGGCAGCTGGGACCCCCGGCCGCTGTACTGAGACGCTCTGACCACGCAGTCGTTGGGTGCTGAGTGGGACCTGGGGGCGTCACTGACGTAGGTGTGGCCCAGGCCTGGGGACCCGCGCTCTTGGTCCCCATGGGGACGTCGGGGGGAAAAAACCACACAGGCTCAGTGGGCAGCGCGCATGTGTGTGTATTGGGGCCAGGGTGGCGGGCGCGGCAAGACTGGCTCCCCCCAGCCCCAGGAGGCTCCGCCCTCGTCGGCCCCTGCCCCTGTAGGCCACACCCCATCCGTGTCGTCAGCGCGTGTCCGTGTCCCTGTCGGTGTCCGCGTTCGGTAGCGCGTCCCTGGGCCTCCGCCTCCGTGTGTGCCTGGCGAGCAGCTGGGCCAGCGCAGCCACCAGGATGCACAGCGTGGGCAGGAGGGACAGCAGGGCGCAGGCGGCCAGCACCCAGCCCGGGTAGCGCTTCTCCTGCCACTCGGGGAACCGCTCCTGCAGGGGAGCCCGGTCAGCGGGCGCCGGGCAGGCGCAGCCCCACGACGGGCGGGACCACGGGCCGCACCACGCCCCTGCAGCGGGAGGCCTCCCCTCACCCCTTCCGCGCAAAGGAGGGAGAGCGCCAGCGCTCAGCCCCTGGGGAGCACGACCCCAACCAGTGCCGCGGGCCAGGCTCCCCGGGCCAGGATGTGGGGGCTTGGGTGGCGCCTCTCCTGGGCGTGGCAGTGTGAGAGAGGCCTGGGGTCTGTTCCGGGCCTGAGAGGTTCCCACCCGGACCTACGTGTTGGGGGTTCCAGGCCCTGTAGCTCGGCGGCTTCTGGGCCAGGAACGCGATGTAGGCCACAAAGATGGTCAGCAGCAGCAGGGGGCTGGCCAGCGCCCAGGACACCCTCCAGTAGAGGCCGGGCCGCCTCCCGGTCATCCACGCGATGTCGTCACAGAACCTGCACAGACACGGGGCTCAGGCTCCGCAGCAGCCGGCGTGACCCGCTCGGGGCTGAGCAGCACAGGCCTGGACCCCAGCCTGGGCCCCCGCCTCCCTGGCCCCCTGGGGCAGCTGCGGGCTGTGCCTTTGCCCCCCCACCCCCACCCCAGTCCCGTGCTGGCAGGCCCCTGGAGGGGCGCTTGGCGGGGAGGCAGCTCACCGTTTCATCCCGTAGACGTAAACCACCCCGACGACCTCGAGAAAGGCAAGGATGATCAGGTTCAGGGAAGCGGCGAAATTGTCGAAAATCTCCAGCCAGTAGTTTCCAGACTGCAGCGTGAAGCAGGAGGCCAGGAGGAAGGAGACCAGGCAGACCAGCCCTGGGCGGGCGGGCAGGGCAGGGTCAGGCTCCCTGCCCCAGGGTCCTTCCCGTGTAGTGCCCAGAGAGCAGGGAGGACCCGTTGAGGAGGGGCGGTGGGGGAGGGGAAGCCTCGCCGTCCCCTCCCTCTGCGTGGTTCCCGTGACGGTCTGCAGCGAGGAGGAGCCTGGCCGGCCTTCCCCTGGGACTCAGACGCGGCCCCTGGCGCTCCCACTGAGGAGGGCTGTCTGGACAGCAGGTGGGCACGGCGGCAGGACAGTGGCGATGGGCCCTCCAGGGTGGCCAAGCCACCCACTCACCAGTCAGGGCCTCCTTGGGGACCCATCTGGGCATGACTCCCACGTCCAGCAGTGGCGCGATGACGGACTCCATGTTCCCGAACATGGACGACAGGCCCAAGGCGAACAGCATCCCGAAGAAGAGGATGGCCCAGGTGGGCGCCCCGGGCATGTGGACGATGGCCTCCGTGAAGATGATGAAGGCCAGGCCTGGGCCCGCCACGCTCTGCAGCACACGGAGCCCCGGCATGGGACATGGGTGCACACGCAGAGGCCGTTTGGAAGACAGGAGGACGGTGCAGCCCCCGCAAGTGAGCAGGCACGGCGCCTGGGGCCTGGGTCCCGCGCCCTACACGGCCGCCCCGGCACCAGCTTCCTGGCCGTGGCTGCACATCCCCAGCCTGCGCCCCTGGGCCCAGGCATCAGCTGGCTCTGAGCGCGGCCAGACTCGGGCCATGGCTGAGCCGGTGACCCCTACCCTGGCTGCTCCTTCCCCCCGGCTCTGGGCACCAGCGGTGCCCGCTCTCTCGGGTCAGCCTGGCCCCAGGCCTGCTGGGCAGGGGCGCTGCCAGACAGCTGCCTGCGAGGCCCGGCGAACTGAGACACAGACGGTCTGGGGTCGTGGTTTATGGCCTTTGGGCCCAGCTTGGGGTGGGGAAATGCCTGCAGCCGTTTGCAGCGAGGCATCGCCGTGTGCCCTGTGCCGGGGTGCTGGGTACCTTGTCCAGAAAGTCTTCCAGGCGGCAGGTCTTCAGCGAGAGCCGGGCCACCCTCTCCGGCTGGGTGGTGTTCAGGTGTGCCAGGGCGGCGAGGTAGCTGTCCCTGGAGATGCTCTGCTCTGGGAGGTCAAACTCGTTGATGAGGCTGAGGACGTTTCTGCGGGCAGACGGGGCTGCTGAGCACCAGCTCTCGGCCGGCGCACGGACCGGAGTAGCCCCTGGGTTGTGCATCCCAGATGGCTCGGTCCCTTCTGGCCCCTGCAGGGGTGGCACGAGCTCCTGTGGGGGCTGGCACTGGGTGGGGACCCTGTTTGTGCCATGTACACGGGGGAGGGTGCTTCCTCAACCTCCTGGGCCTGGAAGGGGGGGCGCTCCTCTGCGTACAGCGGGGAGGTGGCAGCTCCCTCGCCTTGTAGGCTCGGAGGCCCTGCGTCCAGGCTGGGGGCCTGGGGTTTGCGGGACGAGGCCCCAGCTGGCCCCCCTCCCCCGTTGGTGTAGGCTCATCCGGTGCTGGCCTCGAGGTTCTGGCGCAGACACCCGGGGGAGCAAACCCAGGCCCAGCAGACACCCTCTCAGGCTGCAGCTCTGCCCAGCGTAGTCTGAGGAGAGAGGCCCTCCCTGCACCCATCCCCCCGCCAGCCTCACGCGGCCTGCAAGGCAGAGTCGGCAGGGGGTGCATGTGACACTTCCTACGTTTCTGCACTCTTCGCAGGCGGCATCTGTTTACAGCAGCCCCGCCGGGCGGTGCCGAGACGCTGCTCAGTGATTCTGAGCACGAGACGCCCTCACGCGCCTCGTGGAGCAAACGTGTCAGGCGAGCTGGCGCCGTCGTTGTGAGTTCAATGTCAGCGAGTCGACCGCGCAGATGACACAGAAACACACACGCGAGGTTGTGTGCTGACGCGTTGACGGACATATGACCAGAACCTAACCCTGCGTGTCCCCAGGAGCAGGGTTGCAGCGCTCGCTGACGCGGGGTTTGCGGAGACTTCGCAGGACGGAGGAGCTGGAAGCAGCGAGACCGACTGTGCCGGCGTCCGGGGCGACGGTCACTTTGACTGACACAGCGCTAAAGGCCCCGGGCAGGACGCAACCGCTTGGCTGACGTCCTGAAGGAAGACCAAAGTGCTCTGATGCGTTCGGTCTTGATCCTGATTCCGTGAAGAAGCTGGAAGAGCCGTCCCCTCTGCTCTGGCACGCGGGTCCTGCTGTTTGCTGGGGCGCTGGCGCTGTGGCCTCTCCGGAACTTTCCTCGAGGAGCACACACGGCTCCTGGAGCACCGGCGTTCAGGCTGCACGGGAGTAGCTGCCCTGGCCTCTCCGCATCCGTCTGTGCGGATGTGCGTGTGTCTCCGCCGCAGCACTGGGGATGTTCGGGGCGGCTCGTCCTCCGGGGTGGGACCGTCCTGGGCACTGCAGGGTGTCGAGCAGTGCCGGATGCCCGGAGCACCCCCTCTCCGCCCCGGCCGAACGTCCCCTGCAGGGGACAGAGTCGCCCCCACGTTGGCGGGACCTGCCGGTCCACCCGACGAGCCCGCAATGCTGAGACGCATCTGAGGGCCGTGGCAGCAGTCAGGAGCCCTAACAGCCTCGTCCCCCTGACGGTGCAACCCCAGACATGGGGGCCTGGCTGCTGTGGCCCCTGGGGCTGCCTGACAGATGACACAGATGGTGCCTTTTATTCCCTCTCCGTCCTGGAGAACAGTGATGTCTGAAGTCAAAGCGTCTCAGGGCCACACGCCTTCCCGAGGCTCCAGGCGTCCCTTGGCTTGTGGCCGTGTCGCTCCAGTCCTGCCTGTCTCCACGCGGCCTCTGCCCTGTCTCTCTCCTGTGTCTGACGTCTCCTGATGAGGACGCGGGGCCCACCCCGCTCCAGGATGACTCGTCTGAACTCTGGAGTTTGATCCGCATGGACTCTTTTCCGACCAGATCATGTTCTGATGTTTCAGGTGGACATGAACTTTTTGGGGACACCATTCCCCCCACTGCCTTGCAGAAATAAAACATACCCCATGCCGCCCTCCATCAGCGAAGCGGATTCCCGGTGCAGCTGTCGCTGGCCGTGCCCCGCAAAGCCCCTCGCGGCACCTGCGCTCACCTGTCCAGGCACTGCCCATGGTCGTTGGTGGCCTTGAACCCCAGGACGGAGAAGACGGTGATGGACGCGTACAGGGAGGTCACGCTGTTGACCAGGGCGACGGCCACGGCGTCCCTCTTGCAGTTGTTCCTGGGCACAAACACACCCAACCGTGGGCTTTGGGGGGCGTAACTGGGCAGCATCCAGGGAGAAAGGGAGGAGGGGGCTTCCCTCCTCGGCCCCCACCCGAACCTGGCGCCGGCCCTGTGGTCTCAGGACAGACCAGACCCCTGCCCCGGGCCCACCACGCAGACCCAGCTCAAGGCTGCTGAGGGTCTGAGACTCAGAACTCCCCCAGAGGCTTTTGGGGTCACAGGGAGCTGAGGGCAGGGCACTCGTGGAGGGCCCGACGTGGATTTTCTGAGATTACGTCTAAAGGAGAAATGCGCACGGTGCTCTCGCGTGTGCATTCAAGGCAGTGATGTGTCAGTCACGCACGTCGAAGCTCTCTGAGTCCCGGCTCACGCTTCCTGCCCTGGAGGCTGCTAGTGGCAGAGCTGCCCAGAGACCACCCCAGCCCTCCCGTCCGTGTGTCCCCCGCCTCTGAGGGGCAGAAACACCAGCAACTGCAGGAAACCAGGTTTGCTCGGGGCTGTCGCGGGCACCCAGCTCTGTTTTACGATCGGTGGAGCTGCCCTTTGCATCCTGGGGCCTCGTGGACGCGACGTCTGCTCATGTCTGCGCCTGTGTGGCCTTGAGTCTATTTCAGTGGCTGTCGAGGTCGACACACTGTTTTATGCTTTTATGGCCCCATGCGTCACACACATGTTGGGTGGACCATGCCCAGGTACAGCCCGGCTTCCGAGCCGTCCTCCTGCCGCGGCCCCAGGAGGCTGACACGGCCCTGACCGCACCCTCTGGGGACGCACGTCTCAGTGACTGCAGAACCCAGAGGTCTTTGGGAGCCCACAGAGCGGCGTGAGGTTCTATCTCAAGTCCACACCAGGCCACCCTCGGCCCCACGGCACGATGCCCAGGTCAAGACGCACTCGGTGCGTCCCCCAAGCTTCCCTGGCTTGGCACCGTGGCCGCAGAGGGGTCACACCGCGTCAGTGCCCACCTGGGCGGGTTGTAACTTGCAAAGGCGATGTGTCCTCCAAAGGCCAGGGACAGAGAGAAGAATATCTGGGTGGCCGCGTCCAGCCACACTCGGGGGTTTTGGAGAGTTTGCATCTGGAACGAGTCAGGGAGACCGTCTCTCACCGCAAGCAAAGCACACCAGCCGGCGGCTCTGACTGTTCCAGAATGTTCCCAAGGCTTCCTTTGGGACATTCTGGGTGTGACCTGCTCAGACACCGGAAACAGTTCAGGACCGCTCCGGAGTGTGCGGGCTTGGAGTGGCAGCTCTGATGCGGCACACGCCGGCCTTCCCGCCTGGAATGTGGCCGTGTGAGAACTGAGTGGGTCGGAGCCTGCTCACGCTGGGCATGTCCACTCTGCTCTCGGACCAGGGCCCCCAGCGTAGGGCTCACCCCAGACGGTGGTGAGTGTTTCTACCTCTGGGGATTCCTGGGGAAGCCCGCAAACCTGTGGCTTCAGCTGGGTCTCTGGACAGACGTGCCGGCTCCAAGCTGCCCACCCTCACGCCAGCTCCTGCCACCTCCCTCGGGTGCTGGGCGGGGAGTGCCGCATGCCGGGCACTGTGGGATGCTCTAGCAGGGTGCAGGCCCTTGGGTCCTGTGGCTCCCAGGTGGGTGTGTGCAGCCGGACAAGGCCCTCGGTGGTGTGGGGTCCAGGGCAGGGGCAGCACGTCCCCAGCCAGCCTCGCCCTGACCCTGACACCGGTCTCCACCTGGGCGTCCTGCAGGTGCCGGAGTCCACAGGTCCCAGGTTCACCCCAGGCCTGACCTTCCTGCAACCCCCGAGGCCCTCCTCCCCTCCCCCACACTGCCCTGAGCTGCTTGCCCCTCGGGGGGATGGGACGGACCCCCATGGCCCTGGGCTCAGCTGCAAGACCCACTCACCTTGGGCGTGAACAGGTAGGTGAGTCCATGCACCGCCCCAGGCAGGGTGAGCCCCCTGACGAGAAAGACCGTCAGCACCAGGTAGGGGAACAGGGCTGTGAAGTAAATCGCCTGGGAACAAAGACCACAGATCAGACTCGAAACGGCACCTGCGCGGCAGACGGGCCTTGGAGAAGCAGGCGGGGACGGTGAGTGCCTCGTGGTCAGAGCTGCCCCGACCCCGTCTGGGGTCTGCACAGACGGGCTGGGCACGTTGGGGGTTGTGGGGGACGAGCTTGGAGGGGGTAGGGCTCACCAGGAACAGTCCCACTGTCATCAGCTTGACACGTCTGTGCCCCCTGGAGTCGGCTAAGGTGGGCATTGCCCACCCGGGGCAGGCAGGCCTCCCTCGATCAGGGCAGGGCCCTGGGGGCCCTGGGCCGTGTCTCCTCCAGGCCCCCAGTGGCTCTGGCCTCCACCCCTCCCTCCCTCCACCCTCAGGCTCCCTCAGACCTCGCTGTGCTGCCCTAGGCTCCCCCCAGCTGGCCACACCCGCCCGCACCCTCCTCCCCTGCAGAGCCAGTCCCCAGTTCTTAGTTGGGCGTGTGCAAGGGTCTGCACACAAGGTGTCCACGTGGACACTCTGCCCTCACCAGGCTGCCTCAGGTCCTCCAGTTCAGACCAACTTCGCAGAATCACCTGGGACGCGTTCTTAAGGGACTTTTATAATAGGATGATTTGGCATTTGTGGCTGGCTCGTTGGGTCTACTGGCTGGTTGGTCTAATTCAGTAACTCCAGTCCTCTCGGGCATGAAGACCCTCCCATGAGAGGAATTTTAACTTCAGCTCACTGAGAAAATGCACAGGGCACAGGGCGCTCGGACCTTGTGCAAAAGCTCCGCGGCCTACGGGCCGGGAGGCGTAGTCCGGGGTGTGCACTGAGTGCCGTCACCTAAGAAGAATCTACGAGTGCACGGTACTGGACCAGCGATGCCCCAGAGAGAGGACGTGGACGGGCCTCTTGCTCCTGAAGGCCCCTCAGTCCAGTGGTCCTTTCTGTTGCCCACGTGGAACCACACGGGGAACATCGATACAGAGCTCTGTATTGTTGACGGCTTTTTAAAAGATGATTACCTGTTTACAACAAAACTGATGACTGTGTATTTGCTCTTTGTAACACATCATAAGTAAAATGTATGACAACCAAAGCACGAAGCCTGGGAAGAAAGAAACGGAAATGAACGTGACAAAGTCCTTAAACTACACATAAAGCGGCACAAAGTCACGTGATGATAGACTGTGACAAGTTAGAAACAAATGTTGTAATCCTAAAGCAACCACTAAAATAACAACACAAAGAGTTAGAGGTATCAGCCAACCAAGGAGATAGAGTGGAATCACAGAAAATACTAGAAAAAGAAACAGGAACAAAGAACAGATGGAACCAATGGGCAATAATCTAATGCCAGAGCTGAACTCAACTATATCAATAATCGCATTACATGTAAACGATCTACACTCCAAATAACAGGCAGAAATTGTCAGATTGGATTGAAAAATAACCAAGACTCAACTATATGCTGCCTGTAAGAAACACACTTCCAACATACACTCTGTTAACATAGTCAAAAAGAAAGCTGGGATGGCCACTTTAATATAAAGTCAATTTCAGAGCAAAGAATATCAGCAGGATTAAAAAGGTTGTTTCATGGTGATAAAGGGATCGATCCTCTAAGAAGGCACAGTCATCCTGAACGCGTGTGCCCCTCGTGACACAGCTTGCAGGCACACAGCGAACACGCACAGGGGTCCTTGAGGCTGGAGGAAGCTGGGTGGGGGTGAGGGCCCGCCGACTCACCTTCCCTGTGGTCTCAATGCCTCTGATGATGCACATGTACACGATTGCCCAGCAGGCCGCCGAGCAGACCAGCAGCCACCACTGGATGGAGCCGCTGTCTTTAATGTCGGCCGCGATGTTCAGCGTCTGCCGGTACCAGAAGTAACTCACGGCACCGCTGCCCTGGCACTCCTCCACGAACCCTGGAACCGGGAGGGCCCGTCACAGGCTGGCACGGGGCTCGGGGCGCCTTCCCCACGGCTGCTCTCGAGCCCGGCCGCACCGACTCTTTTCACCGCCCATTCTCGCCTCCCTGTGGGGCCCGGCTGAGATGGGGACAGGCAGAGTCTGAAAACCTCACTGGGAAGTTCCGCTTTGTCAAGGTTTATGAGCCATGCTGGGCTCAGGTGGCTGGCAGCCTCTCTGATGTCACTGTCACTGTGTCAAGCCAACACTTACGCTGACCATGGACCCCCCTCACTTCCTCCTGACACCCCCACCCAAGACCCCCAAGGATGGCACAGAACCCCACAAGGGCGGCAGCTGCCTGTGTCTGATGCCTGGTTGTCCGGCGTGTTCCACTCCCTTCCCCGCGGGGTCCTGGGCTGACACCAGGAGCTGGAGATGGCATCTGATGCCAGCAAGCTCCTGTGACACCTTTTGGGACCCACGGCAGCGGATTCCCCAGACACCCGACGTGGAAATGTGGGGGCCCCCTTCTGGTGAAGTTTTGGGGCCACAAATACCCTGACAGGACCACTGCCCCCCATCACGGGGCGCCTCCCTGCACGCCATCCTCTGGCCCCCGGGACCCTTCTGAGGCCGCAGCTGTGACCCGGCACTCGCACAGCCTGGCCCTGTGCAGACGCTGCCCACGCAGTGCGCAGCCCGGGCAGCTGGAGGGGGGAGCGCGGGCTCAGCTGAGGCAGAGCTGGCATTTCCGGGCACCTTCCTGGGAAACCTTCCTTCAGTGGAGCAAGGGCAGGTGTCCGGGATGCAGTTGTGGCCCTACTGTGTGCCTCAGAGGGGACTCACCCCTTCTGGGCCGTCGGGCCTGCCTGAAAGTGAACCGTGGGCAAGGCTGGAGGGAGTCGAGACACACAGGCCGCCACCCGGGAGCGAGGGCTGCAGGTGACCGTCCTGGGGCTGCCACCAGAGCACAGCTGGGGGCACGTGGGCAGGACCAGCCCCCTCAGCCGGGGCCCGGCAGGCCGACCACCCGTGGCCGGCACCCTCTCCCCGCCAGGTGTCTGCCAGCCGGGCCCGTGGGGGCGTCCAGGTGCGGACTTGCTGTGCAGACCCGCGGGGCCACCCTTGTTTAGCGTGTGCAGATGAGATTCTCGTGTCCGTCGGAGGAGGGAGGAAAAGAGTGTCAACGAGCAGCCGTGGAAAAGATGGCTGTCGCTCTCGTCTCCAGGGTGTCCCCAGATGGAGCCCCGGCCAAGTGTGGACCTAGACAGCGACCCCGTCGTGCCCGCGAACTAGCCGGGCCTCGGCGGCCCTGGGCGCAGCGGGTGAGCACAGGCCGGCAGTGAGGCCGAGAGGCCCGGACGGCACCTGTGCTTCTGGGAGGGTCTGGGAGGCGCGTGCCCGTGTGGACACCCAGCGTCCGAGTCCCCTGGCCACCTCTGGCCGGCGAGCACCTCACCTGTCCTGTTGAGGTCTGTTGGGCAGGAGCTCCAGGGCAGCGGCTGCTGGAAGGAGTTGAGGAGGTACCACAGCACCCAGGTGAGGATGGTGTTGTAGTACAGGCTGATGAGGAAGGACGCTACCAGGCAGCCCAGCCCTGCGGACACGGCAGTGTCAGCCCCGCCCCGCCCCCTCTGCCTGGAACCAGCCACCATGAAACAAAATGAATTAAAACGTGTTGAAGGGCCTGACCAGTTTCCGTGACCTTCCGGAATGTCCTTCCGCACACCCTCTCCATTTCCGGCTCCCCAGTCACATACCCAAGGGCTCCGCTGCCCACACGCTGGCCTGCGCCTGGCCGTGTCCCCCTCCCCCCCAGGGCGTGTGCCCCCAGCTCCACACCCCTGGGCCATGCCCGCAGCTTTGCAGGGGTCGGAGGGCGCATACCTACTCCGCTGAGGTAGGGGGAGATTGCCGTCCACACCCCAATGGAGCCCTTCTGCAGCCGCTGGCCGATGGCGAGCTCGACGAGGAAGAGGGGAATGCCCTCGAAGACCAGGGCGACAGCGTAGGGGACGAGGAAGGCCCCTGTGAGGACACGGTGGTCAGCGCCCGCGGGGCAGGGCCGGGACGCCGGCCGGGAGACCCGAGTCCCCACGATCTGGGCCCCAGCGTGGGGCTGGCGTGGCCCCGTGTTTGGAGATCCCCGGGGGGCTGGCCGCAGGCGCTCCGTGGCCAGCCGTGCCTGTGGCCCTGCGGGACGGCGGCGCAGGGGCCTGGCAGGACCTCGCCCGCGGGGGGTCGCCTCCCCGTTGGAAAGCAGCTCCTCCCATTGACGTGATTTTTCTGGAATGGTGAATTTGCAGAGACAAAACGTGTTAACTGAGCACGCTTTTGATGTCACCTGGTGGCACCACACAGCGGTTTTTTACTGTCCTTGCTACCTGGGAGGGGTCAGGTTTGCTTGCGTTCTCCATCATCCAGTGACTCCCACGCTACGACACTTTTGTTGTGGGTTTCCTGCAACAAATGACTTTGTTCATACCGGGCCCCGGGACCCCTGCTACGGCTACCCTGGGACCTAGAGTGGGTCTTTGTGCACGGAGGTGTTGCAGAAGAGCGACGTCTCGGAGCCCTCAAGAGCCGAGTCGGGCTGGACCCGTGTCCCCGTCCCGTGCGGAACAGCCTCTGTGCGCCGTCTGTTGCTTTGAGGCCGATGCCACAGAAATGGCCGGACGAGGGCCCCACGGGTCCTGGCAGGGAGGACACACCCAACTCAACTCCCCGAGCCAGTGGAAGCCACGAGCGGAGCCTGGTGGCCTTGCCTTTCTGCGGGGTGAGCCGGCGGCGGGCGCAGCCACACACCGTCGTGGCCCCAATGGTACCTGCAACCTGACCTCAGCCTCCGCCTGCGGGACCTGCCGGGAAGGTACTGGTTCTCCGACCCCTGGGCCCTGTGGCCGTCCTCAGGCTGCTGAGGAGGAGACCACGTCCCTCGAGCGGGGCCAGGTCTTGGCCCTCCTTGGGGCTGTGAGGGGTTGGCGGCTGCCGTCTTCCCTCCGGTTAACTGTAGCCCGCGGGCGAGTTTGGGTCCCTGTGTCTCTGTGCCCCTGGGCCCTCGGCTCCGTACCCACACACGGGTGCCAGGCCAGGCTGCAGGGGTGGCCCTGGCTTTGGGCCTCGTGGCCCAGGGCTCTGCGCACAGGGGCCAGCGGTGTCCTCGGCAATCCCTGTCGGCTCTGCCCCGAAGAGCTCGTTGTCACGGCACGGGGGCTCGTGCCTGCAGAATTGGTCAGCACAGCCTCACTCTGGCTTTTGTGTCCCCATCAGATGTTTTGTCACTGACATGGGAACAGCGGGCCCTAGAGAGGGCAGGTAGCCACTGAGCCCCGGCCCTTGGTGGCTTCCGTGCAGGACTCCAGGGCCAGCCCTTGGGGGCAGCCCGGCTCTTATTGGTGTCATTCACGTAGAAGCAAAAATGAAAGGAAGTGTGGAAGAGCAGAGTTGAAATCTAGGGGTTCAGCCTCGAATGGAGGCACCAGACACCCCAAGACGCCTCCTGGGAGGGTGAGGGCAGCGTGGACTGGGGCATGGAGCAACTGCGGCTAACAGAACCCAGGGCCCCTCCAGGGGGCTCCAGCAGGGAGAGGCGCTGCCCCTGCCGTCAGCAGGGCGAGGGGCCGGTATAAGTGGGGGGCCACCCACACCAGCCCCTCTTCCCCCACCCAACTCCGTCCTATGCGGCGAGGCCTCAGGGCAGGGCTGTGGGCCTCCCAGCCGCACACCCGCGCTCGGACACTCTCAGGCCCAGGCGCACCTGCCGTGTGGAGAGGGCCTGGGCTGCGGGCGCCACGCCACGGGCAGCGGCTCTGGGCCCAGGTGTGTCCTCCCCCGCCCAGAGAGGGCGGCCAGCTCCGGGCCAAGATCAGCACTGCTTGGAAGCCCCAGGGGAGGGGAGGGGAGCTGCTCTCTGTAGCTGACTCGGTGCAGCTGAGCCTGCCCCGTTTAGGGAGAAGAGAAATGAGAAGCTTTTCCTCAATTACAAGGTTGAAGGCGTGTAATTAGGATCTAACTATAGGATGAAACAGAAGCATTGATTCCGTGGCACACCGGATGTGTTCTAAGCCTTGTTTAGACTTAAAGCCCCGTGGACGTAAACTGAGGTAGTGAACCCACGGGGCCACCGTGCTGCTGCGTGCTGCAGGCGCCGGAGGGTCGGCGAGAACACGCGTTTCAGCTGAAGCTGAGGAAAGGAGGGGTCGATTTACGTGGCAGGAAGTGGAAGGCCACGTATCTCCTGTTTATAACCAACCAGGGCAAGTTCAGTGCGTCCCTCAGGAGCCGGCAGCCGGGGATGCATGTGGGTGTCTGCTGACCGTGGCGAAGGTGGCCGTGAACGGCGGACTGCGTTTGCGGCTGTCCACACGGAGGGTCTGGGAGAACCCACAGGTCACCATGGCCTCGCCGAGAGAACCGCGCGTGGGCAGAGGAAGACGGTGAGGGCAGCCAGGCCGGGTGCCCCCTGCAGTGGGCCCACAGCTGCCACGACTGTGGGCGCGTGGCCAGCCTGTCACAGTGGGAAGTCCCCAAGTCCACGCAGACACGCTCAGAATCTCTCCTGGAAATGGGCCCCCTGGCTGTAAGGCTCGTTTGGAAAGTAACAGCCGGTAAATTGCAGAGGAGAGTGAGGAGAAAGACAGGCTCCACCGCGTGTCAAGACTTGTCGTAAAGCCACGGTAACCGGTGCGGTGCGATTTTGGCGTAAGAGCCCACAGGTCTCCAGGGAAAGGCGGCAGACGCGGGAGGGAGGCCCGCGTGCGCGCTGGGCTGGCGTGCGGAGCAGCGGCTGCAGCCGTGGCTGGGCAGGGGCGGCACAGAGCCGCGGCGCCGCAGAAGCTTCCTGGGCCGAGACTTAAACCACAGCGAGCGTCTGAAGCACGTCCCAGGCAGCGGCCTCGGTCCAGCTTGGAGGTTACGGGTCTGCGTTCCTGTTTTAAAGGCGCTAACTGCGCGTCGAACAGCTCGCTGCAAATCTGCGTGTTTCATGCACCCTGGGGCAACGTCGCTCTGCAGTCTTACAATCTTTGCAGAGAAAATCGGTAAAGCTGAATCGTTACGAACAGGAGAGAAAACGATGTTTACCTCTGAGGGATGAGTTCGCGCACGTTTAAAATGCCGCGCAGTGTCTGCCTCTCAGCTGTGTCTTGTTTTCAAAGCAATTCACGGTTGTCAAAGGGAGAGCAAACGAGGGTGTCTCCCGAGGAGGGGCGGGATCGCCTGTCAGGCAGCCCTTGGGGAAATACGAGTCAGACAGATATTTCGTGACATTTGACCGAGTGATCTCTCCCCGGAAATAGCCGCTGAAGCACTTCATGAGTGGAGGGGCCCCCACAAAGCCCCGCACTCAGCGGCGGCTGGTGGGCTGTCCTCCCTCGGCAGCACCCGAGGCGGGGCTCGCGCCAGCCCCTCTGCACAATGCGGATGCTTGGACCCCCCGACCGGCTGCGAGGGCTGGGCCGGTAGGGGCCCAGAACACCCCGCCCGTCCGGGCCGGTCAGCGAGACGTGGAAGGTGCACCGCGGCCGCCATTCCCAGCACTGCGCAGACAGAGCCGCCGCAGGGGCTCAAGAGTGACGCGCGACCCTCCCACCCTCTGCCTCGGGGCTCGTTGTGCCTCCAGACATGCCGGCGAGGGGCGCACCGTGGTGAGCAGGTCCGAGGCCCAACGTGCCCATCGCGCCCCAGAGATCCAGAGACCCCGGGGCTGTTACAGGCGACTCTTTTTATTCTTTCCACTTGTGTACATTTTCAAAATGTTCTACTTGCGGGGAACCTTTTAAAATTTTAATTTTAATAATTTTTTTTAGAGACAGGGTCTGGCTCTGTGGCCCAGGCTGGGATGCTGTGGTGTGATCACAGCTCACTGCAGCCTCAGACTCCTGGCAACTGTCATCCTTGGGCCTCGGCCACCTGGGACCACAGGCACCTGCCACCACGTCCAGCCTGAACCTTTTCCAAAGCAGAAAAAAATAAACTTTCAAGAAGCAGCATCCTTACAAGGGACAAGGGAAGCGGCAGCAGAAAGTACTTTTCTCTCCTCTGGCTCCACAGCGGCTGGGCCAAGGCCAGACCCTACGGAGCCCTCCCCACTCCTCCAGCTACGCCAGACACAGCTGTGCCCCACCTGGCTCTGCCACCCCGAGGCCAGGTGGGCGACCGACTTGCCCCTGGGGCAGGACCACTCCCTGATCAGGGGCACCAGGCCACATGCGTCCATCTGGTCCTAGCCCGTGCTCTGGGCAGTGAGGCCAGAGTCACCTCCCCACGTTTCCAGCTAGAGAACGGTCTTCTGTGACACACGGCGGAGGTGACGCGGAGCTGGGAAGAGTCGTGGGGGCTCTCGGGAGCCCTGCGGCCTGGCAGGGACCGCGGTCGGGCTAGGAAGGAGAGAACCAGTGGGGGCGCTGGGTGGCACCTGTCCCTCCCTCCCGAGTCCACCGCATGGAGGGCAGAGCGTGGCCACCACGTGTGGCTGTAGGCGGAGACACAGGCGCCTCCAGGGAGGAAGGCTGCGCGGAGCGTGCGTGGGAGCTGTTCCTTTTCCCCACGCGCCTGTGTGGGGGTGAGCTTGACCACCAATGAAACGACCCGAGGTTCTGAATTTCCCAAGGTTCCGACTCCCGCGGGGAGGCTCCGCCTGGAGGGTCCTCCCCAAGCCGAGTGGAGGGGTGAGGCCCGATGTCACGCAGAGCCCGGGAGAAACTTGGCACGCCCCGGACGTGCTAAGGCAATGACGGCGCAAACCGCCGCCGCCCGCGGCTGGACTCCTACGGGGACCCGCCGCGCTCGCGGTCAAAGAGCACCTGTGTGGGGGAGGCTCGCGGTGGCGGGCTCCCTCTCACCCTGACCCCTGTTCGGAAGCCCCCGGAGACCCCAGCAGGCCACGGGGTGGACCTGGGAGGGACTGGGCCCCTTGGGTGACGGTACCTGATCTCCTGCAGGGGCACCTCCCACCCAGGGACGGGGCGAGGGACGGGCGCAGCCTCCCGAGGACGCACCGGGGCGCGGGCCACAGGCTTACCTCCGCCGTGGGTCTGGCACAGGTACGGGAACCGCCACACGTTCCCCAGCCCCACGGCAAACCCGAGGCAGCTCAGGAAGTACTGGAACTTGTTGTCCCACTTGGGCCTCCCGCCCTCACGGTGGTCCCTCAGCGAGTCCGGTCCCAGGGCCTGGGCCATGCCGGCCGAGTCAGCCCAGGGCATGGGGTTCGGGGCGCAGAGAGGGCACCAGGCGGCCTCCCCGACCTCTGTGGAGTGAGGGAGCCACGGGCAGTCTCCCCCTCGGTCGCGTTCTGTCGTTTATTTAAAGGAAAACCAGCGGACCCAGTTAATTGGTAACTCGGGCCAGGCCCCGCTCCAACCAACAGCCCGCCCGGCGCCCGCAGCCCCGGCCCCGTCTCCCACGTTCTGCGTCCGGTGCTCCCGGCCCAGCCTGGCGCCAGCACCAGCGCGAGAGCCGTTTCCAGTGACGGCCTTGTGTTCCCTGTCGGGGACACCCGGGACTCCCGAGACTGGGGCACATTCAGTTGTTTTTAAAAATTACTTACTTTTATTTAACTTTTTGATCTTGAGATAATCGTAGACTCACTTTCCACGGTAAGAAATAGCACAGAGAAGATCCCACGCGCCTGTTACCCAGTTTCCCGCAACGGTGACGTCTCACAAGGCTCTGGGACTGCCTCATGGCAGGATGTGGGCATTGCTACAAGATCCAGAACATTCTGTCAGCTGAGGCCCTCCCTCCTCAGCCTCGTCATTGCATGACGGCTGCGTGAGTGGACTCGAGGCGCGCAGCCTTCCGGGGTTGGTTTCCACGGGGCGCCGTCTGGGCGTCTTGCACGTGGCCACGGTGTCAGTGGGCAAGGACAAGGACGTGCACTGCTAGTCCAGCCAGTCGCCCACGGAGCATGTCCGGGCTGCTTGCAGAGCTTGGCTGTCAGGGATAAGCTGCCACGAGCAGCTGGGCACAGGCTTTCCTGTGGACGTGGACTTCGTGTCTCGGGCTAGGTGCCCAGGGTGGGGTGGGCAGCCCCACGGGGCCACGTCTCCATTCTGGGGCTGAGGAACCCCTGTTGGGTGCGTGGCCGCCTGCCACACACAGGAGCCCCTTGGCCAGGGCTGCTCTCAGGAGGCCAAGGCTTCCCTGCCAGCTCCACCCACTGCTGCCCTGGGCCACCGGCAGGATGGGTGACAGACACCCGCTGAGCACGGCAGGGCCGTGGGTGGACAGGCCGTGAGCCCACTCTGGGCAAGTTCAGCTCCGAGCAGCCTGCTGGGCACTCCTGGGACTGTGGGCCTCCCCACAGTGCTGCTCGCAGGGCCCAGACGAGGCCCGCACACGCCCTGCACCGCGTCTTGCTGCTGTGTGGCCACGGTCCCCAGTCCTGAGGCCCAGGCGAGCCCGTCTCACAATGGCTGTCTTCCAGCAAGAGGGAGGAGTCAGAACACAGCACAGAATTGGCAGAGGGCAGGGGAGCCGGTGTCCACTCTGGAGGCCATGCGAGGCCTCCTCACTGGAGACCCTGAAACCAGACCCGGGAAGAGGCGGGAAGCCGGCCCGCTGTCCATGCCGTTCCCTCTGGGGCGCCGGGTCTCCCGCGGCTCACCCTCCTGCGTCTGGACAGCCGCGGCCGAGAACGTGGAGCAGGAGTGACGGACGCTCTGGACACGCACTCCACGCCCCCAGAGCTGTCTCTGCCACACGTGCAAAGACGCCGACGTCTGGAAAGCAGCTCGCCGGGCGGGGTTGCGATGAGGCGACAGCCCCAGCCGGTCACTGCGGCAGCCACGCCGCTCGCTGCGGGACCTCCCCAGGAGGACAGGCAGGACAGGGTGCTGGTCAGCGTTTCCCAGCTGCGAGTCAGAAGCTCTGGGAAAGGAGAGGTGGGCACCTTGGCCTTGCCCGGCGCTGCCCGCTGGTGCGTCGTGGGCCGGTGGGGCTGTGGGGCCAGCTGCGCAGCTCCGCCTCTGCCTCCGTGGGACTTGTACAGCTCTGGGGAGCTTCAGGGCTGGAGCCTGTGGGGCGGGACGGAGGTGCCAGGAAGGGGCAAGTGTGGCTGAGTGTCTGTCGGGACGAATGTGGCACCGAGACCCTCCAAATCTCTCAGTCCTGCCTGTGAAAATTCTCGAAGTCCAGCTTAATTTAAACTTCCAGATTTTTCCACGAAAAGCAGAGGTGACCAGCTCATCGAGGAAACACCTTGAGTGCTGGTGCCTTTGGCCTGGCGTCGGATGCCGAATCCCCGAAAAGAGTCATCCCGTGATGGGGGAAGGGAAGACACCAGGTGGGCTGCACGCCGTGGCCCCGACGGGTCAGGGGCCTCGGGGGCTTCGCTGACGGTGCCCAGGACGCCCGGGGCCCTCATGGATGGCGGCCAAGCTTAGTTACCCTGTAACCGGCCTTTTCCAACATCTGGCTAAAAATTCACATGGTTAGTATCCTTTAAGAAAACACAAACCATGGTTTCTGCCTTAAATTATGCCAAGTTGAGTTTTATTTAACTGTTCATCGATTCGTGGTGCCAGAGCAATGGTTAAGGGGCCGGCGCTCGTTAAGGCAGCAGAGAGCCGCGACGCGGAACTCGCCTGACGCTGACCGGGGGCAGCACCCAGGAGTACACGGCCAAGTCCTCCCAAACTCGCTGCCAGCCAGCGCGGGCGCCACCGGGCCTGACCGCGCCCGGGAGTCCCCAGGTCAGGTGAGCAGCGAGGGGAAGGAGCCAGGGCAGGCGGGCAGCGAGCGTTGTCCCCAGGAGCCACGGTGACCGTCCCCGCTGTGCACGCAGGGGAAGCCCAGCAGGCGCCTCTCCCCACGCGGTAGCTTCTGACTCTCCACGTGGCGTGTGCAGGGCGTGGCAAGTCCCAGCCGGGTCTGCTCCGGCGGGCTCAGTACACGCCATGTCACTGGCAAGGACGAGCACGGAGGGAGGCTGGGCCCTGGGGGGTGTGTGCTGGGAACATGTATACACACATCTACACACACGCACACACAGAGACACACCGACAGGAACATATACATACATGTAACCATATGTGCACAGTGTACACACGTGTGTGCATGCTCATACATAACACATGAGTGCATACACAAACGTATACAGACACGAACAGCACATATACATACTCACATGCATGTATATGTGCTCTCACATGCACAATCACACACTTGGACACGTGCATACATGTATATACACACACACACTGACACACAACACACATACATGCATAAACGTACACAGAGACACAAATACATGACACATGCACACACATGCCTAATACACTGCATACACATATTTACGTGCTCACACATGTATACCTATAAATATGTACACACGTGTGTACACAGATGCATGTACCTACATGTAATACATGTACACGCATGCATATACAATACACGTGCATATAAAATACACACATGCATGAGTGTACATTCATGCTCTCACACACGCATGTGCAGCCCAGCGACCACCCCAAGAAGCCTGCCGGCTCCCCCCCAGACAGTCTGGGGCGCACCGTGGCTGGGCCCCTCAGCACTTGAGGTCCCCGTTCATGGAGGCCGTGGACGGCATGCTGACCAGGCCCTGGTGCTCCCCTGGCCCCTGGCAGTGGTTCCTGAGGAGCTTATAGATGGCAAAGCCAGGGATGACAAGGCAGGGCACCCCAGCCACGACCACCACCACGGCGTACACCCAGTCTGGGTACGAGACCTTCTCGGACTTGGGAAATTCCTCCTGGGGAGAGAGCCGCGTGGAGAACAGACGCGTCAGGAGCTGCGGTCTGTCCAGGGCAAAGATCCTGTGGGGGTGGGGTGGGCAGCCCGAGGCTCTTCCAGCCTCCCCTGCTCCCACCCCCAGTGCACTCATGTAGCCCCCATGCACACACTAGCTGGGGTCCCAGCTCCAGCCACCCCCGTGCACCCACA